GGGGGGGGGGAAGGCGAAAGAACCCCTTTTTTGCCGGGAAAGGGTAACCTCTGGGTAAAATTTTATTTGGATACATGAAGGTAAAAGATCCACTTTTTCCGTAAAAGACCCCCCTTTTGAAATTGCTGGCTACGGGCCAGGTTGACAGACTGATATCCAAACACGAGGTCAATAACACAATTATTGTTACACACAGATATTATTTAAAATAGGATCAAATTTATTCATACGAAATTGCGCGAGTCTACCGCATGTTACCCTGCTCCACAAATCTCCAATTTTTTTATTTGCTGAGGATGAACCCCATTACACCAAGGAGTTATAACATCTATTATAACTCCTTGATTACACCATTCTCAGATTGGTTTCTATGCACCTCACTGATGGACAGATTTTTGAAAAAATACTTAGCCTCCCCGACGGGGAATCGAACCCCGGTCTCCCGCGTGACAGGCGGGGATACTCACCACTATACTATCGAGGATTGAATGTTAGGCGTCGGTCATACAAAGTTCCTGGGTCTGAGAAGCCACTTTTGATAATTTTTTTCCAAAACATTCTATTCTCGTGAGATTTACACACTATAGTTGCTGTAACAGTCTTTTTTTTTTTTTCGATGTTCGTCAAAATATCTTAGGTCTGCGTTTTTTCATCTATCCAAAATATCATAAAACTTAGCGTTCGTTTCCTGACAAAAACGCAGCTTTTACTCACTCAAATCTCAACGATAATGGTCCTATCCCCCCATTCACAAAAACCCATAACTTTAACCTGTCTGTACTCTGTGGTTTCATATTTCGTGTAAATGTGCAGCTTCTTTATTTTCTTAACTATCAAGGTTTTTGAGTATGCTAATTAGAGTTCAGAGAACAAAGTACGCTATTCTTTTAATCTCATCACCTCACATTTCTTTGAGAAAGAACTAATTAATGAAATAAGGATATTGTTAGCCTTTGTCAAAAACTCCTTATTTTCTGTTATCTGTTATCTGTTACGCCCGCGGAATAAATTTAATGTTTGGGGCAACTAAAAGATATAAAGCAGCCTAGTATTTTGTTTTATTGATACTGTTTGCCCACTGGACACGAACATATAAACAATTTATAGAGCAAAGTAAAATATGTTATTTAGCCAGTATCTTTGTATGAAAATAATATTACTGAAAGATGACAAATTTACTTTATTATAAGACACGCTTGATAGAATAGTGGCATACAGGGATCGGTGTGATCTCCTGTATAAAGTCCGTTACTCCCAGGTGTAGAGAGAGAGAGACGGCCGAGAGACGGTAGGTAAAGACGCTAGCTCTTACATCACTCAGATGTAGACAGAGAGACCCCGGGGAGATCGTCGAGGCTGTTTATGTCTGCGTGCCAGACCTATAGCCCGTGTATGAGGAACAAAGACTTCTAGAAACTACAACGTTGGCTGCTGTGTTCCTTTTGTGTACCAGCCACTTAACAAATAGGTAACCAAAGACGGTTACATTAAGACCAAATTCGGTCTTAAGTTCTTCAGTATAATAGGCCCCTGAACCTATAGGCTACATTGTACCGACTGTGTCGTAGTTTGATACTAGACTAATGAGCTCGTTTCTTTACAGGTGTCGTAGCCCCAGTGCAGGGGACGCAGTTTGACCTACGACAACCCACACTGCTAAGTAACGCACGCCTTGCTAGTATACCAGGCGGTGGCTACGACCATAACTTCTGTGTAAACGGCACGACGGGTCTGAAGTATATGGCCAGGTTTGTAAAGGCAAAGATGCTATTTTTTATGTTATTATTGCGCCAGTTTATTATCTACTGTATATTATTATTATTATCTCCTATAAAGTGTAATTTACTGTTGTTGCCTTGATGATGCATCCAGGATGCGTTAGTTGCGCCTTGTAGCAATAACGCAATCAGAATCAAATTTCGCGTATCTGTAGCACGAAGAAGGTCTAAAAACGCAACAAAGCCTAACCAATATTGTTTCAATATCCCAAACAGAAATGGGAAATGTTCAATCATTTACTGACGAGTCATTTTGGTAAGGTTTCACTTAACCCAACCTGTGCAGAGTTCACTTGAAACTCGCCTCTCTACTACTTGCACGTCAGTCTTTTCCAGTAGTGGTATGTACTGTATCAATGAGTCGAGTCTCCAGCGACCTCTAATACAGGGTAAATTTAACCTCGGTTCATTCTCGATTTTATCAAATTCTTTACATTCAGGGTTGTTCACGAGGCATCAGGCCGCGTGCTGGAGGTCTTTTCCGACCAGCCAGGCGTTCAGCTGTACTCCAGTATCCACTTCGGTAGCACGGAAGAGATAGGGAAGGGCGGCGTACGCTACCCGCAGTTTGCTGCGTTATGTCTAGAAACACAGAATTATCCAGACGCTATTAATAATGTAGGCCATATCATAGAAGTAGAGATTATTTAAATCGCGCTATGATCAACATATTGTGCCCTATATATTTTCCTTCCGTAGTCGAAGAAATTTAAAACGAAAAGGTGGATATTGTATTCATTTAGGTTTCCTTCTTCATTTTTTTTTCGGTCATTACAGCGTATACATATTATGTGATTGCTTTTTATTCTTTTTTTCTCAACCAAAGTGGAAGTAATTTTCTATAAACAAATTTTACTGTAATGTAATTTATTTATTTTTTCAGGAAAATTTTCCGGATTCCGTGCTAAGGCCCGGATCTGTGTACAAACATAGAGTTATATACAAGTTCTCCACGCTGACGGGATCTTCGTAATTTTGTTAAAATTTTTAAATGTCTATGATGAAAAATGTCAGGGTTGACATTTCATACGGGATATAAAGTGTAATTATAATGTTGTCAATCACAGATGGTAAATATGAAAGCATAATGTACTCTTTATGAAGTCCGAGTTCGAATGCGCCAAAGAAAATATTCTGAAGAAGAAAGGAAGAAATATTTGACACTGCAAAAATTCATATTATTTCTATAGTTTGAGCACCATCTCCTTCTCTCTCTCTCTCTCTCTCTCTCTCTCTCGTTATAAACTGTAAATGTTACATAAATTTCAATTGTAGTCATGATTTTTTTACTTTGATGTAAATTGTTTTGTTACAATAAATTCGTTATACCATTGTCATACACGTAGTTACGAACCGTCACGTATACATACAACCCTAGCTACTACCTTGAACTGGCACAGTTGTCAGATCGTTCGATTTCTCCAAACTGCTAAATCACTAATGGAATGCAATGTGAATTGATCTAACCCTTTGTCAAAATGAACACTTGTTTCTGCTACCCTTCTGTTATGGGCAACCTAGGATAATGGTTTTCCTTTCGACTATTTGGTCTCGAATTCCCCAGAATTTTTGTTCATTGCACTTTTCTTACAATGGCGCCAACCAAGAGGGCAGGAGACCCTCCGGGCCGCATCCGTCGGGGTCAGAAAATAATTTCCTACCACGACGCAGTTGACCCGTCCAGGCCGTGTCTCTCGGGTCCCATGGTCATGTAGCCTCCGTCCACGGCAACGTCGGACCCCGTCACAAAAGAAGCGTCACGGCTGCACAGGAAAGCCACGGTGGCAGCCACCTCGGCCATTTCACCAACGCGGCTGAGCATATCGAATTTGCCCCAGATAGGGTTCCATTTTGCCTTGTCGAAGTTGACGCCCTTAGCAGACTGCAAGGAAATAAAATGATGACAGATGGTAACTTAAGAACATCGAATTAAAAGCAAAAGGTGAAAACACTCGTGATTTCATTTCAGCGACAGTTCGAAGATGTTTGGAAAGTTTTTTTTTAATTCGGTATCCTAAACATATACGCATTAGGGATATGTAATAATATGATTCCTATCCATTGTTGATGGTCAGGATTTTCAATATAAAGTTATGCACTAGTATATAATCTCTCTCTCTCTCTCTCTCTCTCTCTCCTTACCTCTGGTGACCAAATCCATCCCGGAGACACTGTGTTAACTCGTATACCGTCATTAGAGAGATCAAGTGCCATACACCGGGACATCTGCAGGATGGCCCCCTTACTGGACGCGTATGTCCATCTGGTCACTTGGGCGATGTGACTGGAGATACTGCCGATATTTACTATGGCGCGGTCGCCCTCGGAGGCTATACAGAAAAGGAAATAAAAAGGAGCTTAGAGTTTTAAAATCTATGAATAATAGAAAACAGGCGAGATAAGTAGAAAATAAGTTTTCAAAGAAGCCGAACTGCAATCTGAGATTCTGAGAGTGTCGAGGATGACCCTTCTCCGCATTGCCTCAATTTAAATTTTTTCCGCTACATTCCTAAACGGACATTTTGCCTTTATTGATATTTTCTGTAAAAATGGCGATATACAGTCACCTGACAAGGGTGGTGGTACTACAGAACTGATAAAAAAGTGTGTGTGTGTGTGTGTGTGAGAGAGGGAGAGAGAGAGAGAGGGAGAGAGAGAGAGAGTAGTTGAGGGGCTGCCAACCTGGACAACCCTGTGCCGTTCACCTTTTTGGCGTGTGCAAGAGGGTAGTGACCCAGGGGTTTAGAGGGTAGGTTAAAATATACCAGGGGCCTGCCCCACAAAAGAACTTGAGACCCAATAAAAATTGGTCAAAACTTTGTCTACTTCAGTTCTAGATGTAGATAAACCTTGGTCCGTAAATACTTGTCTGTAACATAACCCATCCATTTTAGTCTATTTCTTGTTATAAAACAGCTCGATATTTTTAAAATGTAATTGGACTACATGTGCAACTGATTTATGGTGGACCAAGTTGACTAAATTTTTGTATAAAAGATAATATCTATTACCTGGATGAGGATCTAAGGAGACTGACCTTTCTTCATATGCGGATGGCAAGCCTGGACCATGTTAGCCACGCCCTGGACGTTGACACTCATCGTCTTCTGCCAGTCGTCTTTTTCTGCATCAAGCGCTGGATTAAGAAATTGGAGCTATTCAAATGTTATGTTGATGCCATTTGCACGTCGCCCAGAAAATGATAATATATATCCTGAAAATTAATATTTCCTGAAGGAATTTCCTGAAAATGGTTGTTCAGGTACATGTAGTATATTGTATATAGTGTATTGTGTATATATATAAAAATTTGATAAGATCTTCAAATGTGGTTAAATTTATGTTTCAATGTGTTATGTATTTGGGAATATGAAAAAAAAAATCCTCCTAAACGTGCCTATACGAGTCATTTTTTCTATCATTTTTGCTTTTCATCAACCATTTTTATCCCTTCTCCGTTGATATATATTTCTGCAAAATAGAGTCGAACAAACACACGCGCACTCACACACAATGAGTTAAGACTGAAGTAAAATATAGGCCAAAAACCCAGCACGATAATTATTCATGTATCCTAGGGCCCGCTTCAAGCTTGACCTTTAGCATTATCTAAATATGCACACACGACCACAAGACGCACATATTTTGATAATAAAACGTGTGGGGTATCTTATCTAGCTTGAATTGACTGCGATTTCTGATGTGTCTAAACGCAGTGCCCTAAATTAGACCCGTCGCTCCGAATGTATTCTTAATAGATATCAAATGGCAGTACTAGTCGTAACTAGTGCGTTCCGATAGTAATGTCATGCAACAGCTTGTTAATTCATCTGTTGCTTTCATTAGGAATATGCAGGTAGAATAGAAGACTGCGGGTATCACCTTTGGATCCAAAAAACACCGCAGAATTCACCACGTAGTTAATACACCCTCCATACGCATCCGCGATCTTCGTCGCAGTCTCAAAGCACGTGTCCCTGTTCGACACGTCAAGGTAGTGAAACGTAACGTCGTACCCTGCCGCGCGTAGCTCTGTCTCTAAAACCTTCCCTCCATCTTGGTTGATGTCGATAAACGCCACGGAAGCGCCGTCACTGGCGAAACGCTTCACACATTCCCGAGCGATGCCGGACGCGCCACCAGTGATAACAGCGACGTGATTCTTAAATCTCCCCTTGGTGTGTTCTTGGTTCAGTTTAGGCTGGGGGAATTTCTGGTCATACGCGTCAGACATCTTTTCAAAGCGGTATATATATATATATATATATTACTTTAGACCTCCCCCTCAGCAAAGCAGAGATTTCATAGCACAGTTAACATATTATATCAGTTGACCCAAGAAATGTGCACTTTGACATGACTGTGAGTGCATTCCCATAGATTTAGATCGATCCAGCTGACAGTAATCTAGTGAGATTCCCCACAGGGATAGATCGATCTAAAATCTGTGGGAATGGGGTCTATGACTGTACTGCATGTGATCCATTTAATGTTGCAGTCCTTTTTCAAAGGTATGCTATCCGTGTTAGAAAATACACCATAAAAGTAACATTTTCCATGTGTACGCATTTCTTAAAGATGATAAAACTTCTCAAATAATTAAAATAATCAATTTTATAATTGCTATTATGACATTGCGTACGAGAATTTAATAATAGTCTTATCAAGTGATTTAATTCGTGGATTTTATTTTCCAAGCAATATGAACACCTTTACATGTTCAATAATAAAATGCTAGGCCTAACATTCAGCGCCCCAGTTTAATTTTTTTAATAGAATAGTTTAGCTGATTATTACATGCATGGCCAGTCCGTGCTACGAAAGCAAATGTAATTTAATAGCGTAAACAAATGGATGTCACAAGCTTTTATCCCACCGTTCAGCTACATGTTAAAAGCAGCTACATATTAGAATTGCAGCAAGCTGAGTTAGCTGAGGAGTCAACTAAAAATATGGCTCAAGGTCATTGCGTTGTGCGCTCCAAAAACAACATTAACTGCAGTAGATAGGGCGTTACACCTGTTTCACTAATAAACCCAAGCCCCTAATCAAACTGTCTCACTGCAGTGAGGTTTTTTTTTTTTTTTTTTTTTTTTTTTTTTTTTTTAAGATTAGGCTAATGGGAAGCTCTGAAGATGAGTAAATAAATAGGCCTAGAAATAGGCTTAACTAAATATAGATAAAGAGGCTAATGAATAAATAAATAAATGTTGACTATGATTTATTGCTATGGGCTTCATGTCTATGTCACCCTCTAAACCTTCCAACCTCAAAGCCCCTGAATCACTGCTGAGACATTTCATGTCTGTTACAAAAATCTGGGAAAGGGAAAACATATTTTCTACCAACAAATCACCATCAAATTGTCTCATTCTCTAAAAATTATAACACTTTTTCACGCCTCTGTAGTCAACGCTCAAAAGAATGTTTCCACCCTGCGCCCCCTCCCCTCCCTACCAGTAGGGGCCTACTTGCCATAGCTTCTATCGTTAATATTCCATAGATATTAAGAGAATTAAATATTGTCAATCTCACAAATTTTTGCTTGTAGTGCATTCCTATAATCTTTCTCAACCCTAAAAAAATTAAAAAGCCACCATAGAGAAAATAAACACAATAAAATGGTTACAAATAGGCATATATCAGTATAAATCCGTTGTTAGCTAAACAAGGGTTAGATTGAAAGCGAGGCTGTGACTCCTTGACGACGTTGGGGTCACGTGACGGAGTGTATCAACACAGGTGCTGTGAGTGTATGTAGACTGGGGAATAGCATACAAAGCCGATTAGAGAGAAATAAGTACTGTACACACGCAGCGCTGGTAAGTCACTAGTTAACCGTCTACTGGTAAGATTGTCGATTATAATTAGATAGCTCGCTGTCCAGGAATTAATGTTATATTTTGTGGGCGTTTGAGGAACTTTTAAGTGGCTTTAAACACTTTCCCCAGCCACGTTTTTGCTGTGGACGTTGAATTATCAACATTGTATCAATGTGTGTGGCAAGAAACTATGGCAATATGATCGGTATATCATTTACTGAAAACATCAAAGTAATTAGAAAGTTAAGGATGGGACAGGAGCTGATGTGGTTGTGAACAATATATCTATGAGCATAAATAGGAAAGTCAGTCTAGGCCTTAGAGAAATTCAACAAAACCGCTTCCGGGGCGTTCACAGTGGGAGAGACTGTTCTAGTTCATACAGCCGTCCATAGTGCGCGCCCAGCTTTGTGATTCTACTATCAAGCTACAACAATGTATCAAATTAAGTCGCAGACCCACTGGCCGAAATGTTACACAGTAGCGGTTTCAATCAGGGATGGGATCACTGGACCTTACATGACAAGGCGGAGGTTATGTTCCCATATGTTACCAAGTTCATTCATTCGGGTCTCTTGAAAGGCTTTCTGAATAATAAGAGCAGCTATTCAGTGTTCAATTACATTCAAGTATTGTTGTTGAAATTTTCTCGAGCTTAAGGAATTCAAAAGCGCTGTACGTAATTGTTTGTGGTGTTGGATTTAAGAAATTGTTATTTTTCACTGACAGGTGAATTTCATTATGGCAACCGTCTGGATTGCGGTGCCTAGGTTGGATACATAAACAACTGAAAAAATAGTTATCACAGTGGTTTCTCTGGGGATAATTTTACATGCTACTGTTCTCTGTTTTACATTGTTTGTGTCGTGAACTTTTTTTCAATTTCAAGACAATAAGCATAATTGATTGAGCTAATTAGCAATTAAGCCCACAACGTACATGTACAGTACATGTACAGGGCATTGCACATTATATAAGACTTAGTATTCAATTTTTGAATATAATGTTATGACAGTCACAGAGTCACAGTGGACACTTGGAATAATGGGGCATTAGAACTGAATTTTTGTCAACATCTGACACTCATATCAGCCTCTAAACCCATAACAAAAATCAGTTTAATAGATTTCGTGAGAGGAAGCACTATTTATTCTGTGGCCATAGAGCTACTGTGGCAAATGTATCACCATGTTCTAACTTAGCTTCATACAGCAGCAGCTTAACTTTAAACAATTTCAGTAAGTGACTGATTTGATCTATTTTCAGCTTATTGACAAAATGGGTTAACTACAGAAAACAAACTGATTTGGATTTTCATTAAAAATTTGTTTTTTGTTTTCAGTTTCAGATATCATATATGGGAAGATTGAAGAACAATTTCAAGAAACAGTAAACTAACTCACTGCTCAACTTTGGTCTAAGTTTCCAAAATTCAGGAGCGCCATTCAGGTTTGCTAAATCTGAAGCCACAGCAACTGTATCAAATTGCTCAAAAATGACTGCTTTGCCAAAGCTAACGCCAAGGCAGACGCCAATTTCTGCCCCAGCATTTTCACGGAACATCCCCCTCACCACGGGCGGGACTCCCAAAATGACAGCTCTTCATGTCACTTACCCTCCTCTGGAGAGGGCGTATACCACAGACTTTGCAAAGATGCCCGAGAGGATAAACCAGCTAGCTCCCGCAGAAGGAAGGCGGAGAATAAACATGAACACAGAAACTGCTGAGGCTAATTATTTAAATGAACAGAGAAAACTGTTAATGCAGAGAAGGGAACATTATAGGTATTACAAGGCTTGGTCCAGGCCTTACTATGGGACTCCACAGGAGAAGGAAGAGTACAGGTGAGTTCATGTTTTATTTGACCAAGTTTATTTTAATAGAAATATGTTTTTTTTTTTTCATATTGATACATGTTAAATATATTTACTAGACTACTAGTATTTCAAATCAATATCAAAATCAAGATGATTTTTTTTTTTTGGGGGGGGGGGGAGTAAATGAGCAGCATTCAGTGGCGAACTGCTTTCTTGCAATTTTCTCTTTTGTAAACATAGCTAGAATTAGGTTCAATCTTTTACATTGCTTTGTGAAAGTTCAAAGATGTTTTACATGTGAGATATTTTTTGCCATGAAGGATGTAAAGTACTTACAAGTCTAAAAAAAGGAATTCATTTAATTCAACACCTGGGGCTGAAATTAAACATTTGAAGGTTCTTCGATTTCTGCTGAAGTCCAGTAGAAATGTAGATGTAGTTTGAAGGACGTGGTGGCTAACTCGAAGCACTTAATTAAATTGACACAACTAAAACCAATCAATTTTTGTGACATGCTCTAATAGAAGGAGGATTATTCTCATGTAGCTCATATGATAAATATGATAAGGTTGGGTGTTCACAGGATTAAGTCCTGTCTTTTTGTCTATTGATGTCTAGTGAAGTTGTAACTCTAGTCTGTGTGTGGTATAGATTTTTATATTGGCATAGAAAACAGTAATTAATGTAACCATTGACACATACATACTGCAGTACATGTACACTAGAAGAGAGTAGAATGTTAACTTTGAGAAAATGATACATGTAACTTAAAAATGTTCAATAAAACAAATTTAGTAATATTGTGAAAATATCAGTCCAAAGTCTTCTAAGTATGAAAAATCTGATACCAAACCCAATGAATCCCACATCATTTATAATCCTGGCTTTGGGCCTACATTAAGTATCAGAATCAAATTTCACTTACCTATAGTATCAATAATACCTACAGACTTTATGGGTAGTGCTAATTCTGTAGTTAAAATATTAAATCCGTACAAACATCCCTGGGGCAAGCATTCTTACATTTACATTGTAGTTGGTGTAAAATACCCCCTCATTGCGGTAATGATAATGGGCCTTCCGATTTCTATTTATTTCTTGCGTCAATATTTCCTTTCCTTGCCTTTAAGTGCCGCTGTCGTATGTATAGGTGAGAGACCAATGTCTGTGTGTTTGGTCATGTCCAATCTTGAAAATATGTGTAAATTTGTTCACAGACTAGGCTTATTGACAAAACACGCTCTGTTTAGCGCCGAAAGCTCCTGCACGTACTCATCGTATGTTAAGAGTTCTCGCGGAGTGTATTGTTATGGCTGTTACCATGCGTTGGAATGCTAGTCCCCCACACTGTGCACACTTAGCCAAAAAAGTGATTTTTGAAACAGAAACTAAATTGTTTGTCTCTAATCCTTTATGTACATCGAGTATTTTGTTAAGAAATGTTTCCATTTTTGATAGGGATTTGGATGTTCTGGTTGCTACATGTGATTTACACAGGGGGGTACTGGGCAAATAGAATTGTAAATAGTGTGATTGACACTTGGGTTGGGTGTAACCATGAGCTTATAGATTTATTTAATGTCTGTTTTAAATTCAAATGAAAGTAACATCCTAAATAAACCGTAAAAAAGAAGAAATGACGCATAAGTGTGATACATTTTAGTAGTGGTCATATCGTTAAGGAGTTTTAAGATAAAATATCTTAATACTGTCAAGACATTATTTATAGAAATATCCCATTCTTTACTGGAAAAATGAGTATGAAATGATGATATTTTCACAAGTTTATCAACTTGTTTAATGTATAAGCAATCAGATGAAAGAAAAGAATAGAAAAAGAAAATATTCTTAAAGCATCAGATATTTATCACTGTAAGATAAATTTAGCCCTAAAATCAAATTTGGTAATGATATTTTTTTATAATTTTGTGCAATAGTTTACACAGCTGCAGGCAGAGCACAGGTTAAAATAAATATTTCAAATATCTTTTTAAAATTATAAAAATGGGTACAAGAGGTCACTCCTATTCAGCTTTAATGAATTAATATTTGAAAAGCAGCAAAAAAGGCTTTTAACATTCAATTCTGAAGTGATATTTCAGAGAGTAAACAGGTCCTTCATTCAACTTGTATTCTATGAAGTCAGTTAGAATATGCATTAGTGTAAATAGCTATTCTATAAAGTTTTATAGATTTATGTTTGAAGTATGTTGTAGCTTAGAGATGAAACAACATTTACATTCACCAAACACTATGAATTTACGACTGATTGATCTTAATAAGCCCTTTACTTTTGGTTTTGCAATAGTATAGATAAAGCATAAAGTTACAGGTACAATTTTAAAAAATGGAAATTCAATTGTAATAGACTACCAGGTATATTCAAATTGCTTTAAGGGTGAATTCAAATCTTCATTGAAGTAAATTTATGAAATTTAAAAACCTTTATGTACATGTAGAAGGTAGAATAAAAAGACACATAATTGTTGGAAAAATTATCATTAACATACTTTATGTGGAAATTGCTCATCATATTAATCTTCTTTCACTTTTGGACGGATGATAATCGCAAATAAGCTTCAAGTTCCTATTCTAGTCCTAATAACTCCACAGTTTATGTGAGGTCAGTCAGAATAAATTACTGCATAAAAACAGGTAATTGAAGATCTCCATATCTTCAAGGTGGTCTAAAAATCAATCTCAGAATAAATGGTGGCAAGGTTCAAGGGAAATATGTAATTTTTACTTCATTAACTATTATACTGGACAGTTTGTGGTAAGAAGTCTTATTGAATCAAATTTATTGGAATTTTCACTGTGTGTCAACATCTTTGTTTAACCTGGAGTAGTTTGCAATCTGACACTGAGAATTGATTTTTATTTCTTTGGGTGAATGAATTTTTTATTTGGTAATTTGCTTTTTCTTTGTTTGAAACACACACTACTGGGTTTGTGTTCTTGACTTATTGAACGGTACAATGTATGTCAGGCACAAATGGAGGTCGATCAGGAGAGAAATAAATGTCACAAAGCTCTACGTGATTTCACTATTATATTTATTATTGATAATTCTGCTACATACTTCACTGCGCCAGCATTTTTTTCTGCTGGAAACCTATGTCTGAAATGAGTATCAGAGACAAAAAAGAGCATGCAGTTTCTTCATTTTAGCTCTCAAAGATAGTGAAATAGTGAAACACACTAAAAAATCAATCTAACATGTATGGTAATTCGAAAATTCAGAAACCAGTTCAAAGCAGATCTGAACCTCAGGGTACTTAAGTCTCCCTCCAACTCCCCCCCCCCCCCCCCCTCCGCGGTCCATTTACCTCTCGCCTTAAGCTTGCTCTCCTCCCCCATCTTGTTCCCTGCTAAAAATAGGTAAGATTCCTCCCCTCCCCTCTTCAGTATAAAACTGCCCCCTTTTATTTGGTCTGCTCCTCAGTTTCTCTTCTTTCACTCCTGAATAGCGCTTAATAATTTCCAAGAAATTGAAAAATAAATGTACGAGAGAAGTGAGATGATTTTTTAAAAAACTGGGCTAGTTTTCACGAAGTGCCTCTTTCCTCACATTAACCTATAACCATTAATTATCATTACATATTTAGCACTGACAAATCTTCTACCAGTATCTCCTGTGTGAGTATTCTGCAGATTAGACAGGAAGACAGAAGAGCCTTTTATTACTGAAATAGTACAGTATGCCTGTATACTAGTACATCTTGTAACTGCTGACAAAGTAAACATCAGAATACAGGACTGTAGTGGTCTTTGCCATGATATAGTAGATACTTAGACTACAGCAGATACAAAGTAACTTAGGTGTTCAGTTTTAAGAGATTCGATACTGTATCAACTGTGAGGTGTTTGATTAGATAAATAATGTCTGTAAGGCCACAGGGTGGTTATTCACTTTACACTTGTGTGTGCCATTTACTTGTTTCAATTATGGTGTGCATCTTTTAAATTCTTTCAGAAACAGTTTCTGTTAATTCAGTGATGAATTGGTAGTTCGATATTCTGTGTGTGTGTGTGTGTGTGCATGTATGTGTGTGTTGTAAAATAATTAAACCTTCTAATGTTTATAATCAAATTATGTAATTATTTTTCTAGGAAAGAGACACGCAGTATGCTAAAGCAACAGATGGACCACAAGTGGTCAGCTGAGAAGCAGGAATTCCTGGAAAAAGTCAAGGAAAGTCAAGCTGCGGCTGCCTATGATCAAAAGTGCAACAATGAGGATGTAGAAAATTTCAGGAATCGCTTCCTGTACTTGACCAAATTTAGGGATGAAAATAAAAGGGTGAGTATTTTTAGATGAATTGATACCAATGGTGCAAAAACCTGTTGAATAATTAGATGTATAAAAAACAAAAAGGAAATCAACTCTTAATTAGAAAAAAGGATAAGTCAATTCAATGTCCTTTCTTAGATATGATTTAAATAATTGAGCAAGACTTGAAGTTTATTCCAACAGTAGCATTATTATCCCTCTGTAATGTAGCCAATTACAGGGATCATTACCACTGAAACCAGAGAAACTTCCCCTTATTGCATTTGCAGTGATGCATATAATGGAGTGTGGTAGATGTGACATTGAAGCACATTTTGCTTGTATGGTTGTGCTACAAAGACACAAGCTCTTCATAAAATATATTGAAATGATTAGCATATGTGTGGGGTTGGGGTAGAGATGGAGGATGGGAATGGGTGAAAGGGTGTACACAAAAAGAGATTAATTTTGCATATGCATACATCTCAAGTGAACCAAGGAGACAGCCTTTTTTCTCTATCCACCAGATCTCTGAAGCAAAATTCTTATTTTTTATTATTATTTTTTTTTTTTACATTCCTTGACTGTCCTGTCAGTAAACATTTACAGAAATGATACATAATTTACATGCATGTGCTTTTTTTATCTTTTAGCTTATGGAGAAGTTTTGGCTTGAAAGAGAAAGGAGCAAGATTTTTGAAGATACCTATGATAGGGAGCAGCTTCGTTATAATCCAATAAACTGGAGTTGTACATTGAAATAAAGTAGGACACAATATCAGACATTCTATACATATAATGCAAAGAGGCCAAAGTTCTCCAGACTTGTAAATGGTGGTGTAAGACTTCAGTGTTGTAGAGATCACCAGAAAAAGAGACAAAAACCTGTATTATGGCGCCAAATAGAACCAGGTACACCCAGAACCACCACCCTGTCCTCAAGGTCTGACTGTTCAAATTTGCAGAACATCAAGTTTTCACTGGTTTTTCACAGAGATTTGGAACCAAACACTTTTGGGTTTCATTTTCAACAAGGTAGAATGGTTGATGAATCTCATAACATTGCATTAAGGGTGTGGCTTGAGTTTTTACCTTGTGCGTGTTCACTGAAATGCCAGCCATTGATAGGAATTGTGTTATGAATCATTTTAAGGCAAAAGCTGCAGTAGTTTTAAGCTGAATCAGCAGCTGATTGCTGTAGAGTGCCAGGCATTGCTGTGGTGATTTGAACCAAAATTTAAACCGTTGATTTATTTATTTTGGAACTATTTTTTATTATATCAGTGCATACTTGTTCTTGGCACTTTTTATGATGAAAAGCATTGAATCTTTTTTTTTTCACAATTTTTAATTAACACTGCTCAATATGTTCAAAAACTGCTCAAACTAAAGCTTAGAGCACAAGTTGACTCTACAGCATAGATCTGCCCATTGACCTATGCTAATGTCTCGATCTTTTCAATGGACAAAAATTATCAAACTTTCAGATACATCATAAAATCATAAAATATTATTTTTTTGTATAGCATTTGTGGTGCTTTTAATGCATAGAATAGAAAAATAAAGTAGCCTGCTTTTCAATTTTGTTGCAACCACTCAATAGGAATGCTCTTATTTTAAGAAATTATGACTAAAAAATATAGTATCTGTAAAATCACAATTTTCCCTCATTGAAAAGATCGAGTCATTACCATAAATAGAGTCAAACTAGATTATTGATCTGCTTCAGTTAAGTTGTATGCGATATACTAGTAATGCAAAGTCCAAGGGCTTAAGGAAAGGAAAGATGTCAAAATTGTTAAATTTATTTTCCTTTAAGTTTCTTTTTCATAATGGTGAGTTTAAAAAGCTATTAACTATGGATTTTTTTTTTTTTTTAGTTGCACGACTTTGACTGAATCTTCCAATTCAAACAATCCTGGAGTTTGCCCATATATTTTTTAAACTTAAGATTATAGGATTGTCTGGGTGATGGATAAAAAGTTTTAATATATACAAATGTGCATATGTCATTTTCATTAATGTCAACCTGTTACTTAGCCGAGGCACACACCTATTTAAGCTAACTTGGCGATTTCCTTTGAAACCAACTCTGATATTAAGAGTACAATTACGTGTAAATAGGAGCAGAAAACATGACATGTACCGTGATTAGCATGAATCTTGCAGTTATTCATATTACAGAGGAAGTTTGCTGAAGTTCACTGCTCAAACTGAGGTTTTTAAAATAGAATTTTTGCTTGTTTATGGGATCTAATGTTACTTGAAGTCCTTTTTAGAATTTGGTGTTCTAGCAGTCATATTGGAAGTTAACCTTTCAAATGTGCACTCGATTTTTTTTCAGTGAAATTCTTTCAGATGAGAACTGTACTGTTTTATTTCATTTTTCCACTTTTGGAGACATTGGTATTGTTCAAAAGCTGAAAATTTGCACCAAAATTTTGACAACATGATTGTTAGAAGTTTGCATTAGCTTATCAAGTATGTTCTATGTCTCTTTCTGGGGGAAGCATTATAGACTTCACCTGCCAAAAATCTGTGAAAATGGGGATAGAACAATTTCTTATCCACCAATTAAATTAAAAATAGCATAATAATTCAAGAAAAAAAATGTATCAAAATTTTTGACTCCAATCTTTTTTTCTTCTGTTACTTCCATTTATCTCATTTTATCAGAGGTCTGTAAGCAAACACTAATTTAAGTAGTCGGCTTTTTTATTAATGATTTTTTTTAATTGTGATATAATAATAAGTATTAAAAACTACATTAACAACGAATTATTTCAGGACGCTGTGCTCAATCGTATACAGTGACATTAGTAATTGTTGTTTACTGTATTGTTTACGTCTTGCCACTTGTGCCTTGTTGATCGACATTGTAATATAATAAACTGTCGAACATATACTCTGTAGACTTCTGTTTTTGCTTTACTTTGGTTTGATATTGAACGGTCAAAATTTTTAAAACGACCTCTTTGCAAGTAAAATAGTCACCATACTGTTGTATCATCACTTTATATTTTAAGTGGAGAGTTTTCCAAGAAAGCTTGCAATTACTGAAAGGTATACCAAAAATCTACCAAAACTCTACTTATGTATTAGAAAAACCCAGATTCAGTAGAAATCGCAATAGCATCTTTTATTCTACACCCTGTGTAAAAATAGGACAGAAATACGTACACTGGAGAAAAAGGCACTGTTTCTGTGGACATCAGATGAAAAAATATCTCTGTGACCCTGGTAGAGGTCGCGCCCGTATTATCGTCCAGAAAGATGCACATTTTTAATCTAAATTATACACTCGCCTATTTATAAAACTAGGCTACTGTGATATACTAAGACTCTTTATATAGGTCGACCCGGGCGTACGTGTCATTACTGTCGCTTTTGACGTGTCCTTGTCGCGTAATCTATAAACAGGTATATTAAAGTGCAAGATGGAGGGAGGTGAGGAAAAATTACTATTTTATTTCTTTAACATAAATTAATCGCTAAATCACCCATCCACATTAGATATAATAAGTACCATGCATTTTGAAAGTTTTGAAGGCCAGGCTTGTTGGTCATGTTTTAATGGGCGTCAATGCAGGATCCAGCAATATCTAAAATGACCTTGATATAGCATCGTTTGTGCCGTATTTGTACATGTATCTGTGTCTTTACGAGCGCACAATGTACCAGTATCATTGGGGCCAATTTTACCCCAAAAAAACTTTAGCCCGAAAATTTGATCTGCTGCTTTGAAATTGTAGACGCACCTTTTAATATATAGTATTGGTCTCGAATACATTTCTTGTAATCAAGCGGGAACAATATTTACTTCCAAGTATTCTATACTTGAATTCTGAGCCAAATCTGGTGACAAGTGGCGACGGAAACTCGATGACCTCAACGTAGCGATTTCAACTCAAAAATGTGCGTCGAAAGAAAAAAATGTCTTTCTTTTCTTTCACGAATCCATCTTGTTTACTGTAGACAGATTTTTTCCAGAGTACTCTTACGATCCAAACTCATTCGAGGTTACTGAGAAAATGATAGAAGATTACAATCGCCTAGGGTTTATCATTGTGAGGTAAAGGATGTCTGTCAAAGGCACATAATCGTGTGTGTATGATCTTTATATTTATAGAAAAAGTTTATTACCTGGAAAGCTTAGTTTTTTTATCTCTTTGAAACATTTGTACGTAGGCCCTGTCTAAAAAATATCGAGAAAATTATGAGCTTTAAACCTGTTTTTTTTTTTTTTTTTTTTTTTTTTTTTTTTTTTTTTTTTTTT